TATATATATATATATAAGGGGTGTAACGGTACATGTCTACGGGTAACGGTACAGGTCTTTCAGTTCGGTACGCATGTGCCTCGAACAAATCATTTGATTTTTTTCAGGAAATTCATACAATAAATGCCATTTTGGCACTCTTTGATGAGGCGTGACAGATCGCTGTGTAAACGCTTCAGTTCAGCGCGGAGGGCGATTGAGCGCGATCATCCCTTCCTTTTTACTTCTAGTTTTAACGTGAAATAAACAATTAACATCTCATGCCTCATGTAATCGCACAATCAGTGTTTCACTTGCGGAAAGATTAGATTAAAAGGGCTTGTAAACAAAATGTCACCTAGCATTTTATTTACCTCTGGCAAGTCATCAGTGTCCACAGCTCGTCAGTTCACCAGAGAAATGAAGTCTAGTAAAGAGCATTTCGTGAAATATTAGACTAGGCTATATACTCATTATATTTTGCTTTACCTGTTAGTGATGTCTTAATCTTGTAATGTAGCTCTACATTTAAATAAATCTTTTATGAAGCAAGTTATGATAGCTACTGTGTAAATGATTATATTTCAACAACAAATAGAAATTGTAGCCTATAATTTAGAAGTTCATTTAAAAACTGCATTCAGTGCAATTTACATGTTTGCATACAATTTTTTTTTATTTGAGTGTTGATTATTATAGTTAAAAATAAATAGTACCGGTAATTAAATTTAAGTTTGGGATCTGTTGTTAATTGCAACCTTATAGTAATGTAGTGTCCATATGATTTAGAGCAGAAGCTGAGGGTGATTTTTAGGCCTATAGATTTTGTTTTTTATGAGGTAGATTTAAAAAAATGTATAATTACATTTATTTAAAGAAAGAGAAATTTGTTCAGTAAAACATTGTTTCATTAAAAAAAATTTTATGTTTACTATTTTTTCCGAACCGTACCGAACCGACAGGCCATTACACCATTACACCCCTAATATATATATATATATATATATATATATATATATATATATATATACAGAGAGAGAGAGAGAGAGAGAGAGAGAGCACGCGCTCATTTAAACTTAATATTTTACAATACAAATTAGTTTAGCCATTTTGATGTTTGTAAACAAGCACAGTCATTTTAATCATTAACGGTTTAATAAAATATGGATAACTGGCAGGAATCCAAAGTACAAAAAGAGTTTCTCAAAGCAAAAAAATATGTAGAGTAACACAAACTCACCTCATGGAACTCCTTACTAAGACCAAAGTCTGTCAACACGATGTGGCCATTTGAATCAAGAAGTATATTCTCAAGTTTTAGGTCTCTGTAGACAATTCCCAGCTGAAAAACAAAAAGGAACGAATAAGCTCTTATGTTTAGATGCGTGACCAAATACTTCAATTTTCATGTCTTAATTCACCACATTTTTTTGTCATCCTTGCCAAAAGTATTTCCTCAAATGTTGTGTTCACAACCTTAACTTGTCTGGGGTCATAAAATGCAGCCATTCACCTGGAAAATGCACCAATACTTTAATAAATAATAAATGGCAACATAATAGGCAATGACAAAAAAAGGAAACTGAACCAAAACAATGTTAATCTCACTGTCAAGGTCCTTCCTACAAATGCTGCAATGCCTCCAGGGCTACTCTCTTCCCTCTGAATAATGGCTGCTATGCACAGAACAAGCATGCATTAAAAACTCTTTTCTTCCTTTTTTTGTAAACACAGCCTTCGAGAAACTTTGAGCGCTGCAGATACATTTGCCCTGGCCTGGTTAACTGAGTGAGGAATTGATCGGAGTAGGCAGGAGAGAGGAGAAGTACCTTCTGAGTAAAGGAAGGAATTACTTTCACCATTCTCTCGAAATGAGGCGCCGTTCAGGCAGATTGCGAAAGAAATGAAGAGTGAAAATAAGTGTGCAATTTTACCTTATGCAAGTGCTCCAGTGCAAGTACAATCTCCCCGCTGTACAAGGTAACCTCTTGCTCTTTAAAGCGAACTCTTTGGACCAAGTGTGTGAAGAGCTCACCTCCGTTCACATAGTCTGCAATTGAAAGTATATAAAACAAAATTGCAACTGGTCAAAGACACTTTTATATTTCTTATGTACCTGGTATTGTGCAAAATCCTGCTTTAATGCTGACACTGACACAATCGCTTCCAAGCGTTACCACAAAACCAAGAGTTCCTGTAGTGGCATAGAGGCTTCTGCTTTTCATTATTAAAGCACATTAACTGCGTTGAAATTCACAGGGTCCCTAAACAGAGTTCACTGGTCTCTACACACTCGAGAGGGGATGTGTAAAAGTTCACTTTATTTAAAATGTCCTACAGCTTCATCAAACAACACCTGACTGAGTCACACAAAGAAAGGGTTTCAAGCGGGATAATGTACAAACAAAAATTATAAATTTCTTATATATTCAGCCAAATTATTTCATTTAATGTAATAAATTATACACTGCAGTTTGGGATCAGTAAAATGACAGAAAAAAAAAATGTTTCTTGAGGATCAAATCAGCATAAAAAAAATATTTCTGAAGGATCACGTGACACTAAAGACTGGAGTAAAAATGCTGAAAATTCAACTTTGTCATCACAGGAATTTTTAATATATTCAAATAAAAACAATTTTTGGAATTTGTAATAATAGTTGACAATATTACTGTTTTTAACTGTATTTTTATTTAAATAAATGCAGCCTTGGTGAACATATGACCCTTCTTTCAAAAACACTACAAAAATCCCCAAACTTTTCAACAGTAGTGTATAGTACGTGTATTTTCTATAAAAATCAACAATATTATACAATTATTAAAAAGAGGTCAACATTTTTACGTATGTACCTGTTATATAACATAATAATAATAATGGTATTCTAACAGTCACATCTGCTGCACTTTATATTCTCGTACTGCCCAGGAACCACTTCTGAGGTTAATCAAGCTGAATAAATATGCCGGAGATTGTGCACAATGACTGATGGGTAAATTTCCCTGCCCACTTCCTGTGAAGTGAGATATCAGTGTATACTTGCACACTAAGCTATCTGCAGTCAGACTGACTAAACGCTCCCTTAGGGCTGGACAATAATTCAATATCAATATGTATTGCGATATTTTTTTTTGTTCAATAACGGAGATATGGTTTTTAAACACATTTCCGATATTTCGATATAGCCTGCATTACCATACACTGATTTATTCGTTTGACTTCATTGAATAAACATGAGCACTTGCACGTTTTAAAATCAAAACTTGTCGCAGGTGTTTTATATTAATGTATCTCTAAAGGGAAAGGACTATCTTCAGAAAAGTTTCGATGGGATTTTTATTTTATCTAATAAAGGAGTGTTCATGAGCGGAGCTGATTTGATTACAGCCGTTACTGGAAAAACCGCTAGTTCAACCGCTCTTAAAGTTTTTCAGTTTTTGCAGACAATCAGTTTGCATTTACTTCTGTTCTGCTCACCAAGCCTGCATTTATTTGATCCAAAGTACAGCAAAAAAAAATTGAAATATTTTTACTATTTAAAATAACTGCTTTCTATTTGAATATATTTTAAAATGTAATTTATTCCTGTGATCAAAGCTGAATTTTCTGCATCATTACTCCAGTCTTCAGTGTCACATGATCCTTCAGAAATCATTCTAATATGCCGAATTGCTGATTATCAATATTTAAAACAGAATTTTTTTTCAGGATTCTTTGATGAACAGAAAGACCTAAAGATCAGCATTTATCTGAAATAAAAACCTTTTGTAACATTATACACTATTCCATTCAAAAGCTTGGAGTCAGTATGAAATTATAGAAATTAATACTTTTATTTAGCAAGGATGATTTAAATTGATCAAAAGATAAAGACATTTATAATGTTACAAAAAATGTCTATTTCAGATCAATTCAGTTCTTCTGAACTTTTTATTCATCAAAGAAACCTGAAAAAAATCTATTTAATTCTAAATTTCAACATAATAATAAATTATTTTTGAGCAGCAAATCAGTATATTAGAATGATTTCTGAAGGATCATGTGACACTGAAGACTGGAGTAATGATGCTAAAAATATAGCTTTGAAATCACAGGAATAAATTACATTTTAAAATATATTTCAAAATGTTACTGTTTTTGCTGTATTTTGGATCCCAAAAAATGCAGGATTGAAAGAATTTCACATTTCTTTTTTGAATGAAGGCTAAATACAAATAAAAGGTGAACATTAATTTATTTGTGCTGGGGTTTTTTTTCTAAAATATTATATGGTTTTATATGAGGTGTCAGAGACTTGGCAAATTCATTTTTCATAAGTTTGTATGCACAGACATCTGTTGTGGCGTTCTTGGCAGTTTTTACGAGGCTTTTTTTAATAGTGTTCATATCGATATCGGAATTATACCGTATCGACTGAAATTAAGAAATATATCGTGATATAAATTTTTGCCATATCGTCCAGCCCTACACTCCCTATGACTGAATCATACCTGATGGCCAAAACCTTATAAAGTCTGCTTGGTAGAGCACTAGTAGACAACAGGAATAGTTCACTATAACAATACTGGTGCGCAAGAATGCAGGGGAATTGTTCAGTCTGCACAGGTCGCACTCTTTTAAATGCAGAAGTCAAATTGAAGCATAAAGAACAGTTTGCATTTTTGCAATCCATGAGAGAGAGGAGAGAGCGTACCTAGAATGAGATGCAGTTTGGTGTCTGTCTGGAAGGCGTAATGGAGTGTAACCAGGAAAGGCGACTGTCTGATATGCTCGAGGACCTGTCTCTCTGTGCGTGTGTGCTCTGCCGTCTTCGCCTTCTGCACAATAGTGGCCTTTTTCAACACCTTCATGGCATAGAGTTTACCCGAATCATGGCCGCTCACCTTGCGAACCAAGAACACCTTGCCGTAGGCTGCCCAGAGGAGATGAACGATTTGTTAGTGGAGTAGGAACAAAGATAAGCAGAGAACACAGAGTTCACATACTTGAACTATCACTGACCTCCTGTTCCCAGCACTTTCAGCAGCTCAAAGTTCTCAATGCCCACTCGCTCCACGTGACCCGTCAGATTGGCTGGGGAAAGATTTAAACACATCCATCTGGTCACACACGGCCAAGAAATCATGTTCTTCACTTGGATTACATACAAGAAAACCTCCCGTAAACCTTCTCAACTTTGGTTGCTTGAACCTTTGCCACTTTCTCTCAACAGTGAGAACAGAAAACGTGTTCAAAATGGTGAACCCTTGGCGATGAGCCTCCAGCTGTTTGTATACAGTATGCAGCTTATAAACAGGTCCAGATGGAATCTTTTTTATGCATTTTCTGCACTGACTTTAAATATTTAAACACACTGAAACAAAAGTGACAGCCGAAAGCATTATGAAAAAAAATGAAACACACTACCATTCACATGTTTGGGGTCAGTCCTTTTTATTTATTTATTTATTTAAAGCAATTAATATCTTTATTTAGCAAGGATCCATTAAATTGCTCAAAAGCGACAGTACAGACTTTTATCCTGTTACAAAAGGCTTCTATTTCAAATGTGATGTTCTTTTGAAATTTCTAATCTTTAAAGAATCTGAAAAGAACTAGGGCTGCAAAACGATTGACCACGATTAATAGCATTCAAAATAAACGTTTATGTTGACATACTATATGTGTGTGTGTACTGGGTTTATGTATTATGTATATATAAATACACACACATATATGTATATATTTAACAAATATTTGAATGTATATATATTTATACTTGTATATAATTTATATTATATTTATATAAATATATTATATATAAATCTAACTTAGTTTTCCTTAATATATACATGTATCGTGTGTGTATTTATATATATACATAATAAATATACACAGTACGCACACATAGAGTATGCAAACAAACTTTTATTTTGATGATAATAAGATAAATCAGCATATTAAAATAATTTCTAAATGATTATGCAACACTGTAGACTGGAGTAATAAATGCTGAAAATTCAGCTTGGCCATAACAGGAATAAATTATATTTTAAACTTTCAAATAAAGAAAAATACTATTTTAAATTGCAATAATATTTCAGAATATTACAGAAAATGTCTGTATTTTCTGAATGTTTTTTCTGTATTTTTGATTAAATAAATGCAGCTTTGGATTAAAAAAATAAAATGACCCCAAACTTTTGAACAGTAATGTAAATAAACAAGAGGCAGAACTATGAATTAAATGCATTCAAACTCTGCAGAAATCCGAGTTCTGCAGGTGCAGATTCTGTGTGGCCCTGCTCATAAATAACGAAAAGCCTGATGATTCAGAGGAAACAAAACAGCATTCATGAATGAGACATGGAAGAACGCGAGCATGTGTGTGGTATATGTTTACACGGTAGCGTGCAGCCTGAAGTAAGGTCACTTGTTTTATGCAGTAGATACCAATGAGCGTGACCAGTGAAGTGAACACATTCCTGCTGTTACTCTCATTCACAGAAGCACTGCATCTCACACAAAATCATGATCTTTCTCCGTCTTTGCAAATTATCTGATTTTAGAAGGAAAACAAACATATTCTGTTACCACATCCTCTGACTGGATATCAAGCAGCATATTTAAGGTGTGTGCTAGCACTCTAGAGAGGCCCATGGGAACTACCATGTTTATTATACACTTCCAAACCCTGACTTTCTCCACTCGGGATCCAAAAGTAATAAAGCATTAATGGAAAGAATCTGGTCCCTATTGGGCTTTCTTAGGTGAGTCTTATCAGGTGACCTGGTCTGATCTGGATTAGCTTAAATATTTGAGACTTGTGGTCGACTGATATAGGGTTCTAATGGCTGAAACCAATATCTAGAGAACAAAGTGGTCAATCGCAAAATACTATTTAATGACTGCAGAACAATATACAGTATTTCCTCAAAACGGAAAATGTATACAATATTCCTGAAAACAGAAAATGTGATCTATTCATAAATCTCTCTTTTGGAAATGCTATTAATAACCACATGGAATAACCACTACTGTTAATTTTAACAGTTTTATAATATGATGCACAAGTCAAAACAGACCTTTAGACATGAGATCTTCTCGGTCAAGATGTCAAAATAAATATTGTCGATTTTCATTGATACAGTAAAAAACTGAAACGCTAAAAAAAATGGTCAGAGAAAGAAGGTTCTTAACCTTCAGAAAAGTGGTTGATCATCAACTTCAGGTTAAACAAAATTTTTATGAGCTGTTGTACTCACTATGCTTTGAGGTTTTTCTTCAAAAAATTTTGTTATAATTTGTTGAAATACAGTTATGTTTAGTTGATCATTTTTTTTCTTACAAAAACTTGGGTAACAGAGTTTAATTGTTTAGTTAACAATTTTGAAAATAGAATGAAATTACATCCCATCATGTTGCAGCAAAATTATGTTTTTTTTGGCATTACAATTTTAAGAAATTATACATTTTCTGTAATAGCGCGGTTACAGGGTTGTGCTAAGAATGTGGAACAAAGATAAAAAAATTCATTTTCTGTCATTAAAATTAGTTAAGAATTAAAAATAGTTTAAATCATTTTTTTGAAGATTAATTTTTTTGGCATTTTAGCCTTTATTTGGACAGGAATTGACAAGAAGCGAAGTGGGGAGATCTCTAATTCACACTGATTTCTGATGGTTCATGTGACACTAAAGACTGAAGTGATGGCTGCTGAAAATTCAACTTTGCCATCACAGGAATAAATTACATTTTAAAATAGAAAACAATAGACATTCAATTCATATGACATGCAAAAATAACATGAGCAAACTATTTAATCAAATCCTCATGGATATAAGATGTCCCTCCCCATCCAAATTAAATGCACTTTGAAATTTGTGTTTTATGTTGTCTTCAACAACTGCAGCGCCATTATGATGTTCAGGGACACTGCTATGATGCCATGCACACATACAGTGGTGAGACACAGGAACAGCTGGAAATCACTTCCTCACCGCTGTGTTTGAGAGGGCTGTCTGGGTTGGCTCCTATTTTAGGTAGATCAGGTTTCATGTTGCGGGTTCCAGCAGCATTACGTAGAAATTGTCTCTCACTCTCCGTTACCATGACAATGCTGTTTTCAGGAACCCTGTTTGATTACCAGAATGAAAAATACATAAAATACTAATATATATATATATATAGTAATATTAACAATAATACAATATCTAGACATGTTTGTATATTGAATTTTAAACTGTAATTATATATCTTATTAATATCTGTTGTATTTAAGTATTTTGCCATATCTTCACAGGCTATTTCAAGGCAGACACAGATTCAACATTCAATAAATACAAACAATACACTAAATTCAAACATTTAATAAAATTCAACTTAGAATAAAATAAATTATGTATACTTAAAACGATTCTTTAATTGTACTTAAATATGTTTAACAGTAAGGGGCGTGCAAAAAATATTGGTATTTAAGTAGTTCTTATTTATAACATGTTGCCTCAAAGCTCTTTTATTCATTTAATTATATTTTAACGCCATTTTCGCATTTTGATATGACAATATAGCAGTTACGGAAATCGAAGGGGGGGGGGGGGGGGGGGGGTCAGGAAAGGTCCACGGGATGGGAATCGAACTCGGGACGACCGAAGTGAAATAGCATTATATGTCGCCACACTGCCACGAGACTATCGGTGCCGATTAGTTCGAATAATTGAATATGAATGTAATAATTTATAAAACAAATTACTACATAGAATTATATGCAATTACTACAAAAAAAAATCTTTTTTGTTATGAAAATTTGGGAAATGTTGTATGAGCCTCACAATTTTGAGACATGTTACATTTTCTTTAACATTGCAGTAACATTTTCTGATAGATTGTCCAAAATTAGACCTACTACATTGAATTGTATTGTCTGACACACTCTGAAGATGACGAGGCACAAAATCCCTGTTTTATAGTGGGCATACAGACATTTGAAAGTAGTTTCTCATGTTAGGTTAATTTTATTTTACATTACATTTGATCAAACATATTATCTAATAGGTGTCGCAACAAAAATGTGGCATTGGTGCATCTAAAAAAGTCATAAGACAACAAAGTACTGTTCCATATTGATGGAATGTGCCTACTAAGCATTTACTAAGACAGGCAAGTGAGGACACAAACCTGGTAACTTCATTTACTATACAAAGACTACATCAGGGCCCCAGAGATTAGCTCCAGTAATTGGGTTTCGTTGGACTCAAGGCCATGTCGTGACTGAGCAACTACTGAAACCACTGACACATAATAAATGCAATTCATTCCATTCATCACAATCCTCTTCTTCAATGTCAATTTGATTGCTTTCACATTTTTCAAACACAACATGCACTGAAATGCAAGTGCACTTAAGTGCAACTGCGGTTATGAATGTGAATTATGCAACTGCACATGCAGACCATCCTCTAACCTCAAAGTACCCCAGGCTGGAGGTTCATTTGTGATGCAGATATCAATATATTAATATAGGTTACTAATAGCGTTTAATACTCATGCTTTTACACTAGCCGACCAGCTAGCATTAAAGCTGTCTCTTCCACTATATAACGAAAACATTATTTATATATAAGCGTTGATTGTTAAATATAAGCGCAGCACAGCCTGCCCGGCGTTCATTTACCGTTTCTGAGCTCGTGCTTGACGGTAAACAGGTCACTTTCCCCCGACGAGCCCTCCATCGTAGACGGCATGAACGTTACTCGCGTGACTGAAGCGCACTCCTTCCTCTGCTCGCTGCACGACTCTAGCGCAAACACTACGACAGAGACAGTCACAGCAGGATTACATAAACGGAGTTGTTGTTATAAAGCAACCTTTTGGAAAATAATGTAAATGGCAATAACGGCATTCTCGTGGGATGGGCAGCGGGGCTGTAAATACTACAGCTGCACTAACAGAGACACACACACACCGAGCCCCATGAGACACGCCCACTGGAGCTGCTGGGAAATACTTCTGCTCTATTGGACCCCGCGACTGTCACTCAACGCCCATCCCACACGTTACGTTTAACTATTTACTGTAAAAATGTTAGCGATAAATTAAATATTAGTATTGTTAAACAATGAATATTACTAAAATATATTATAATATATTAATAAATATATAAAAATGTTGTTAAATAAATAAGTTTGGAAAAAGTGGAGGGGGAGAATTATATTTTCATATTTGGGTGAATTATACACCCAAGATTAGCGGTTATTAGCTGTCTACAGTGTGTGCTGTAATGTAATGAGTGGACTTTAATTGCCCTTCAATCACTGTTTCCATCCTATTGTATATTTGTTAAGGGAGTTGACAGTGTGGTGCACTTCTAAATGCCTGAGGCTGTATTGAGAGAAAAGAGCAGGTTTATATGTTCTCAAGGGGGAAGGGAAGCCTGTGTCCTCATTTGGACAAGCAAAGGCCTGTTAACTCCACTTCTGTTATGTTCTATTATAATAACTTTACTTCTCTTTAGTGCAATCACAGGAAACACCCAGGATACTCCCAGTATTTATTCTAAACTGCCTACACTATAGATAGTTTACCGTGTAAATATTCCCTAAACAAATTGATTTAGACGTTTACACAATGTACAGACAAGAAGTTGTAGCCAAATAGACACACAAATACAGTTTGGGAAGGCACACCTGTGCATAGCACAAACAAGCAGAGCTTATTAAGATGATTCTTAATGTTTGTCGATGGTCTGCATGGTTCTGTCTGTAAAGAATAACAGATTTCCAGTTTTCCATTGAGAGAATATGGCAGTAATGGTCTCATTCTGTTTTGTTTACTACACAAGCTGTTCCTTTTGTAGGCACTTTGCTCATAATATAGTGTCTTAATAACTTTCTAGACAAATAAGTATAGGGACCAACATAGCTAACAGCACTGTTCTGTTGTATTTATTGCAGCACATAAAACGGTTCAGTTTACAGTCCTAAAACCCAGAAGGGAATTACCACATCTGAGTCGTCATGATAAAGTTAAATTAAACCTCAAGAGAAGTAACACTTTCTAGGTTTTAAAGCAACAGCTTTTGATTCATGATGGGATCAACTTGAAGAGATGGTTAACATTACTTAGACTGCCAAGATTTCGACAGCATAAATTACAGTCACAGTGTTTCCTGAAAGTGTAGGTTGCTAACAACTTGCTAAATACAGTTTGCTAGATATTTGAAAACAAAACATGAAAATCTCTTAGCCTCAGAGCTGATTCTACTCATAAACTAAATCTAATTTCCCAGAGGAACCCATGTCAAATTAGTCTTTCGGACTGAGGTACATTTACATAATTACTGAACAGCTCTTAAAACAGTGATGATTTCAGTAAAAACCAAATAATTATTATTACAATTTTTTTTTGCAAATGAAAATTAGGCTAGGTGAGGATAGATACAGGCTGCTCAATAGGTTGTTCCATAACATAACATTACATTACATTCAATGAAATTTGAGAATATTTAATCTGAGAATTAAATATGTCAATGTGTTTGCTCTGTAGGCTACTCTTAAAACTCTTAAAAACACAAAACCCTTTAAAAGAGTCACAGAACGTATTTTTAGCACAAATTTAAAGGTCTTTAAAAGCGTATGTCTGAATATACTGGTTAGAAAACCAGTAAAACAAAGTGATACAAAAATTTTTTTTTTGTATCACAAAACTAAATTCAAATAAATTAAAACAAACATTTTCTATTTTTTACCAACATCCTCTTTTTAACAGTTTTACTCCATAATCAAATGGAAGGTACAACCACAAGCGTCTCTGTGAACTTTTATTTTGAAGTTCTGTCCATATGTCGGCGGTGTTGTTGAGGTTTGCGCGCGCTGCAGCGCTCAGCCAATCCCGCCCCTGGCACGAGGCACGTCACTCTCCTGATACTCGGAGCAGAATGGCGGCTGTTTTGGAATCGTTGCTGCTCAGCAGAGTGGAGCTCAGCGAGGCTGTGCTCTGGCTCAGAGGACAACACGTAAGAATGTACACCGCGCGGTGTGTTCTCTAATGCGGCGCTGGCTTACTGTCACTATGTGGCGGAGTGGAACAGTGATTGTTTTCCTGAAATTCAGTCAGCTAATCTATAGCTACGTTAGCAAACAAACAAACATTAAGGAGTCGCTTTATTTTAGAGATGGATATTTACATTTTTTTTAGTTTTTTTTTTTAGTTTAACTTTAAAAATTAAAGTTTTACATTTAGACGATAACTGTTAACGCCACAGAACATCTCCGAGGAATAAGCAGGAACGTTGTCCTCAACAAGTTTCTTTTTGGGGAATGTAAATATTTTCATACACAATACCTTCCAAGTTGGTATATTTGTTGTGATTGAGAGTAGTACAACATTACAAGTACAAGGTTACATTTACTTCACATAATTGTGAATTCATTTTTGTGTCAGAATAAAAACTAAGCTTTTTTACGCGGTATATACAGTGATGTTTTGGTAGTATTTATTAATACTGTGTTTTGAATTAGTATTTTTGTATTTCCAAATTAAATTTTAGTTTTAGTAAGTTTATGAACATTTTCATTTCTATTAATTTCTATTTAACTTTATCCTATATTTAACTTTATTTCCTTTTTTAGTTGTTTTTATTTGATTTATCTTATTTTAGTTAGTTGCCAAGGCATTTCTAACTTTAGGTATTTATTTGTTTATTTATTTGATTTCTAAATTTAAGTTAATGAAAAAGTTTTCGTTTCGGTTAATGTTAACAGCGCTGATAATATAATATGACGGGGAGAAATTTCGTACACCTAAAACAATCCAAATAAAATTAATATTTTTCTTTTTGCTGTGAACACACAAGTAACTTGTTTGAGGTTTATTTCATACATAAAGTGTCATACAACTTGCATGAGGTTTTATTTATTGTGATTACATTAACATATCATTATGATTTAGTTAAGAAATTAATATGGATACTTATAATTATATATTTCTATTGCTGAGAATTTACTTGTTTTGCCAGATAATTTAATATAAGTTATTTCATATTTAAAATTTTGTCTGTGCATTAATTCTTGGTAGCTTTTTTTTTGTGGCTCAATTTTTAGTGAATTAAATTCAAACGTAGTTAAAATGTAGCTAGTGTCTTGGATCATGACTTAAATTTGATGTTTCTTTTTGTCTTGCCAGGTTTGTGAATCCCAAAACTTTCCATTCAAGTTCAGCAAAGAGGAGTTTGTGCCTTTCCTATTGAATTTTTTGCGGGATCAGAGCAGTCAGACTTTGACCCATGGCCCCACCACACCTGCCAAGACCCCCAGCACCTCCAGATCTGTCAGGACTCAGGACTCTTTTGTTCGGAGAGGCAACAAATCCACACCAGTTCAGTCTTCACGCAGTGCCAGTCGAGTCCAGCTCTTCTCTCCTGCCCCATCTGTGTCCCCGGTGGGCGGGAGGAGTGAGCAGGAGACCCCATTTACCGGCTCTCATTGTTTGAGTGGCGTCAGTGCCCTCAGTAGCCCTTCCTTCAGCTCTGTCTGGAGCCCTGCTCCCCGCAACACCCCCTCTGAGCGCCGCTCTGCCCAGCGTCCCAGTCTTGGAGACTTCATGACATCACCCCCAGAGACGCACAGAGGCCGCAGGAGGAGTGGGGGGTTTGGGGGGTGTGCGCCCGGCCGTCAGATGGGAACTCGCGGTGCTGTGTCGGAGGAAGGAGTTCGCTGGGATGGAGGAGGCAGGAGGAGCAGAGGTGTGGGGAGGATTGAACCAGTGTCACCCCCAACACAGGTGCAGCTCAACTTCAATAATTTGGAAGACTTTCCTCCAGTGGGTGCCGCCCAGTCTTCACCAGTGTAAGTGAGGAGTCAGTGCGTAATAATGGTTGGGGGGGGGGGGGCAATCTAGTTGAAAATTTTTAAATGTTGGTTTCATATATATGTATGTATATATAGATAGATATAGATGGGTAGATAGATAGTCATGAGGATCTGCAGGGGTCCTTGCTCTTTGTTTCTGCATGATTTCAAGTTTTTCAAATATATATTTAATATATCTTTTAATTATTAGAAAAAATATGCCATAATATATTGTATTGTGTGTGTGTGTGTGTGTGTGTTTATTTATTTATTTAATGTATATTTAATATTGCATTTTTCTTCATCATAAAATCAGGACAGTTGCATCACCCTGACATTTTTATATTATGTCCCCTAAAATATTAAAATGAATTTAAATGACATTTAATCACAAATTAAAATGTTCATTATAGTATAGGTGTGTTCAAGTCATTTTATGTATGAATTGTATTTTTAAAGTCACCATAAAATCAAAATGGACAATTCTTTTTATAGAATATTTGCAGTGTTTATAATAAACAATCGTTATAAACTATTCAGTCATTTCTTAGTGAACAAAATCAAACTGTGCACTTCATTTCTTTTTTTCAGAAGCTTTTTACTCGGATATGCAAAAGAAGAATGCTATTTCTGTTTCATTCTCATTTTAATATATTTTAAAACATTAGTTAAAAAAAATTACCTCGCGGCATTGATCTTGACAGTAAAATGGTTAGAATCTGTTTTTTTTTTTTTGTACATCCTTTGAATGTCCTAGTTAGTGGTGTGTGTGTGTATTCATTGCAATTTCATGATAAATGTAATATGAAAGATAAAACAGAACTTTTCTCCTGCTTTTGCAGAGCAACCAAACCTTCACGGAGAATCAACCCAACTCCCGTAAGTGCAGAGCGGCCTCACTCCAAACCTAAGAGCTGCTTCACATCCACCCCGCTCAGCCTGCCTGCCAGTCCCCCTGCCATACTAGAGAGCGCTGGGGCCACACTGACCGCTGGCAGTCCTCACAGTCTGCAGGAAGAGAGAGAGTTGCTTAGGAGAGAAAGGTATGTTTGGGCTGTAATATTTTGTTCAAATAATATCCCTGTGTTTATCTGTTACTAATTGTTCTCTTGTCTTCTCTAGGTCTAAACTTGCCCAGCAGACCAGCTCCCCACTGAAAACCACCCCTGCCATCTGTACCCCAACCAAAACTGTGCACAGACAAGGGTCAAAGGTGACCCCTGACCCTCAGTCACCTTGCCCTGATCCTAACAAAGTGACACAGAAATCAGAGCTGGATCTCTTAGCAGAGCTGTATTGTACCTGCATTTCAGGTGAATGGCCTCCAAAGGGTGACATATACAGCTGTAATCTTTTACAGTTGATCAAAGTTTGCTCCTTTATTTTTAATTTTTTGGAAAATCAGTTATGACTGAAAGGAATATACATCTACCTTTCAAAATATTGGGTTCAGTGTTTTTTTTTTAAGAAATGAATGATTTTATTCAGCAGGGATGCAAAATTCTGCTTTGCCATCACAGGAATAAATTACCTTCTATATATATATATATATATATATATATATAAATTAAGTTTTAAATACAGTTGATCAAAGTTTGCTCCTTTATTTTTAATTTTTTGGAAAATCAGTTATGACTGAAAGGAATATACATCTACCTTTCAAAATATTGGGTTCAGTGTTTTTTTTTTAAGAAATGAATGATTTTATTCAGCAGGGATGCAAAATTCTGCTTTGCCATCACAGGAATAAATTACCTTCTATATATATATATATATATATATATATATATATATATAAATTAAGTTTTAAATTTTTTTCCCCCCTGTGTTTCTGATTAAAAAACATGAAAAAAATCTTACCCTAACCTTTTGAAGAAACATTTAAGGGGGTCTGAATACTTTCCGTACCCACTGTATATTTTCATAAGAATAAGATGAAGTCCGTTTTAAAGTTTAATGTGTTTTGCTTCTAGAGAACCTGGTTCCTTGTGTCTTCCTGGAGCTGTTCTTCGTGCTGCAGCTCTTGACATCTCGTGACGTGTCTGTCTCTGAATCTCGGGAGAAAGGAATCAGTGTCTGTGAAGACAGCCCAGGTGAGTTTGATTGCACACTGTCAGTAATTTAAAGTTTATTTAATTCTTTATGCATTTTGACAACACTTACATGAAAAATCACACTGAAGAAATGTCATAAGGATGAGTTTTTTCATAATCCTGCTAATCAGCAGGAGAGTACAACTTTAAAAATGCATTAGTCATACATTATTCTGTGCTGAAAGCTACAGTTTATAACATTTTTTAAAATTGTACTGTTCTATAAAGTACATTTCTTAAACTCAGTTTATTTGACAGTAAATGGTTTTATTGCAATTATAAGTAATATTTTGCTTGATTTAATTGATAAGTTAAGCAGATATTATAACAGTAATAATGTGTTTCGATAATGCTATTATACTAATCGATATTAATTATTTAATTATAATTATACTAAATATATATATATATATATATATATATATATATATATATATATATACCCCCAGAATGATGGTCAGTCAGCTCACAGCAGCAGGAAGCCATTCTCACTTTGCTAGACTCTTCCAGAAGCAGCTGATCCAGGTAAGCCAAAATGGCTGATTATTCTCACATTTCTTCTTATCCTCTGTCTGGCTGTTTTATATTCTCTCTGTTTCTCCTCTAGATGTGCAAAGGCCCTTGTGTGCTGGGCTCCTCCAGTGATGCCCCTGATGCTGATTTGCTCGGCATGCTGGGAGCAGACAGCCTGGGTCGTCTGAAGCGCCTGCAGCAGCGTCTGGTCCAGCCTCAAGGACTCATTGGTCCCTGCCCTCCACCGTCCTTTCCTGGTCATCAGGAGTTCTTCAAATGCTTCCTTCAAACAGCCAGCTGGTAAATGTTATTGTCATAGGCCTTAAACTTTTCAAAGTTTGAGTGCAGTTTAATTTCCTGTTGACATTTTTTGTTGAAACGGGAAGTGCGCAGGACTAATCAAAGTGCTTATCTCTTTGTTTAAACAGCGAATAGTTATCCATTTAAAATCACAGCACAGAAAAATCACAGCTTGGTGAAATGCTGGGTGAAAGCAATGGAAGTACTCACCAGAGCTACATTTAATGAAAAATATAGTGACTGTAATATTGTTAAATATTATTACAATTTAAAATATATATATTTTTTTAAATTTTTTAAATGTTATTTTTTCTTGTGATGTCAAGTCATTACTTTAGTCATCAGTGTCACATGCTCTTTCAGAAATCATTCTAATATGCTGATTTGGTGCTCAAGAAACATTTCTTATTTTTTTATCATTGTGAAAAACTGGTTGCTTAATATTTTTGTGGAAACTGATTGTTTTTTTCTTATGTAAGTATTTCTTTAAATTTTTTTACTGACCCTAAACACTAGTATATACCTGCTTAAAGTAAATTTTTTCAGCTTTTAGGAGTACAGTGACATATGTCAAAGCTAATAATAATAGATTAAACACTTTCATTTTGAATTAATGGATTCATTGTGTTTTGGTGCTTGGCTCTAATTCCTGTCATCTTTATACTAGCTGTCAGCTAAACCAGCATCTGAAAGATGGTCTGTGTCAGCAGCTGCTGAAGCTAGATGAGGTGTCCATCCTCGGTCCAGATGCCAGCCCTGCCCGGGGAGAGGAGACAGGTGATGGAGACATGGAGCAGCAGGTTAGAGCAGAAAGCAAAATATTCACATGCTCTACAGTAATCAGAGGCTTGAATGGGTTTAAAACGCATGGTCTTTCTGTGGTCTTTGTTTTAGGATGAGAAGCAACGTTTCTCCTCCGTGCTTCTCACGGCTCGACTTCTGGCCAAGTTTTTGGGCTTCATCTCTTTCCTGCCTTACCAGACCTCTGAGCTGCCATCAAGAGACATACAGAATACTGCGATCAGTCTGCGGAGCAAGGTAAGGATTGTATGAGGGCAAGATTTTATTTTTGCCTAGAAGCTAGTATGTTTCACAACCTAATTTGTTTTTATTTATGTATATTGTCAGAGCTCTCCATTGCTGGATGTGTGTGTGGTGTTGAGGAGTTCAGTGCATCAGAGACGCACCATTCTGACAGTGCCCTGGATAGTGGAGTTCCTGTCCATGCTGGATTACGTCGGCCCATTTCTTCCTTTTTACAGGACTGCTCTGTGCCTTCTGCTCCAGATCTACAAGTGCGTTTATGACATATGTCAAAGATGATCTCTGCGTGTGATTGTGTTGTTAATTATGGTTATGTGTGTGTGTCAGGAGGATGGTATTGGGTCGAGGAGGGGAGCTGTGTTACATGAATCAGCTGCTCATGGTGGCAGTTTTGGGCTGGCTCTTCCAGGTGAGATATCTCAAGTGAGGCTCCAAAATTGATTGAAATTGTGTAAAAAATATTTAAATGTGCGATGTTGCCAAACAGCAGAACACAGCTATCGAAGACATATAAGCTGAAATAAAAATGGGTGGTGTGACAGTAAAAGTTTCAACGAGTAGAGACACTGCTGAATTTTGAAAATTTGACACCAGGATGAAAGCTATTGCTACTCTGCAAAAACTGTTGTAGACAGAGACCTCTAATGTGTACAACTGTGTGTACAGCTGGACAAATTTACTTATGACTAGGAGTCAACAGATATGTGTTTTTCAGGGCCGATGGCCTTACCGATTATTAAAGATCAAGTAGACCGATTGTTGAATCGACACAAATGTCTGGTAAAAAAATTTAAATGAATGTCAAAATTAAGAATGAGGTTGACCTGGAACATGCCTTCTTTCACAACCAGCCCCCATCTCTCAGACGGACTGTAGAGTTTGTTGCTGAGAGAGTCGGTTCCAACTGCGTCAAACACATCAAGTCAGTCTCTCACCATTTAGTCAGTTTTATGGCTTTTTCTGTATGTTAGTCTGTGTAAATCAATTAAGATTTGCTTTTCATCATTTCGTATTTTCCTAACTCTGTGTGTGTGTGGTAGGGCTACGCTTGTGTTGGAGCTCGTGAAGGGTGGAGAGAAAACTCTCAGAGATAGTTTGGGTTTGGAGGGTGTCGACACGGCCAAGTTAAACGATTCTATCTGTGCTCAGCTGTGTGACGCAGGCATGCAAGCTCTAGAGACACCGGTGGCTGCTAGCCTTGACATTTAAAGAGTCTTCCTGAAGTGTGCATCACAAAGGACGACTTCATGGCTGTCCGTCGCTATTGTGCAAACGAAGATGGCTTTTTAACAGGCAGCCGTTGGTTTTATGAGTATGCGCATAATAAATATGTGACTTTATGCTCTTTGTGCTTTTGTCAAAAAAAAAAGACTTCTGTTTGAGTTCAGAGTTTTAGCTGCTGCAGATGGCAGGGTTTGTGTGGGAATGGCACAGAAATCCAAGTTTGTAAACATGTTCTCCTCATAACGAGAGTTATTTTTTCTTTCCACTGAGTATGTTATAAAATGCACCATTTCTAGGCAAAAGTATGTACACACACACACACACACACATACAATGACAGGCGAAGCAGGCTGTTGTGGGTAGGGCCTCCATTCATCATTGGCAGAGTGAAACAGACCCACAAGGTACTACACAAGCTAAGAGCTTCATAACTCTGAGCATTCAGTGGGAGAGTCCATTGCTTAAAGGTGTGTAACATCTGTTGCATTATCAGCAGCAAACAGAACTGGGAAATAAGTTGATTTTGTACATTTTTCAATTAAAAAGTTGTGCAAAACTTACCTTGATATTAGGGCATTGTGAACAGTTGCTGAGGTGTTCCAAATAGTTTTTAGTGCAGTTGCCAGGGTGTTTTTGGATGGTTTCTAGGGTGGTTAAAGGTCAAAAAGAGTCAAAAGAACCATATCTTCAAAGTTGCAGTAACATGTAGTATTTTTTATACAATTTTTATTTGACACATATACACTAAAGGTCAGTTTGGAGTAATCATTTTTGATTTTGAAAGATTTTGGCTGCATTTATTTGATTAAAATCCTTTAGTGAATATTATTACTACTAATAATATGACAATTAGGGAAAAAAATCTTTTCAGTTCATGCTATGTAATATGTTTTAATTAGTCATTTATTCCTGGGATGGAAAAGCTGATTTTTCAGCATCATTACTCCAGTCTTCAGTGTCACATGATCCCTCAGAAATCATTTTAATATGCTGTATTGGGGGCTTATTATTTGCCAGCTATTATTTGTACTAAATTATTAATAATTGTTCTAATTATTAGAAATGTTGGAAAAAAATATTTTTGTGGAAATCGTGATACATATTTTTCAGGATTCTTTGATGAATAAACGTTTCAAAAGAACAACACTTATTTGAAATGGAAATCTTTTTACAACATTGTAAATGTCTTTACCGTCACTTCTGATCAATTTAATTAAATTAGTTTTTTTAATTAATTCATTAATTATTTGATTAATATTTATTTATTTATTTTCATACTTTTGAATGGCTGTGCATCACAGTTTCCAAAAATATTAAGTAGCAAAAACAATAAAAAAAAATGAATAAATAACAATAATAGTTATTATTATTATTATTTCTTTTTATTACTATTATTATTATTATTTTAATAATAATTTAAAGTGTTATTTATTATTAATATTTAAGTTGAACACATATCCCATGGTGGACCTGAACATCTTGATTCTCATCAATTTCTAATCATCAATTTATACAAACTTTTTCACTTCATTTTTAGTCCCATAAAAACTGACATCAACAACAAGCAGGTAGTCCCACCCCAAACTCACACCATTGGTTGAGCCAGAGGTTAACGTTGAAAGTGTTTTGAAAGCACCTCAGAGCCACAGTGTGAAAGTCCACATACTGTACGAATGGCTTACTTATAGCAGTGTGTGCACGTTAAATTAAATAGGAAAACATATTTTAACACTGAAAAATGACACACTGTAAGATGAAGTTTAGACAAACAAGACGTTCCCCAGCCACATGTTGTCAGAGTTTAGATTTGTACATAGTCGTGCTCCTACACTGGATTTCATTCTCTTGCATCAGTTTTATCTGGAACCCGATACGGTAGAGATTGCACAGCTGTCCTCGCTGCTCTCTCACACACTGACACACATATCCTGCTTCTGCTCAGCTGTGCGCCTCATGGAGGAGTTTTCAGCTGTCTGTTTTCATTTGAATCTGACCTTCTCATGCGGCGCAGCAGAGCTGTGCAGACGAATCCTCCAGACCCCCGTTCTCTCACTCCACTGCCCTGTCTGAATATGGGCCTGGATATGATCACAGCCAAATAAACATGCCTCTGAGGATTTTAGAAGGTTTATGGTCAACCTGGAGAAAATCAAACCATGCAATATAAAAACAAAAAAGTAAAATATCAGTTAAGAAGTCTGTTATCTTAGGGGAAAATGTACTTATATTTGCACTTACATTTTTTTCAGAATTCTTTGATGAATAGAATGTTTAAAAGAGCAGCATTTATTTGAAATAGATATATTTTGTAACATTGTAGATGTCTATGTTGTAACTTTTGATCAGTTTAATCCATCCTTGCTGAATAAAATATTAATATCATTCAAAAAAAAAAAAAAGTTATACATGCTCCAAACTTTTGAACGATAGTGTAAAAAACCAAGGCCTGCATATTTCAAATAACACGGTCATATTTGACACTTTAAATGGCATTTTCCCCTCTAGTCTTGGTTATTTTCTGACCCTGGTAACTTGTTATTCTACACACTCACACGTTCAGTAATGAATGAGCCTTTAGCCTGTTTTGAGTCACAAACTTTTAATAAGGCACTAGAGTTTGTCAAAAAAAATTAATATGGTTGTTCTATAAATGTTTACTTGGCAGTGCTCTGAGCAGTGTCTTGAATATCAGTCTGTTTGTTTTTGTTCTGCAGGGAGAGTCTGGATGGAGGACGATTAGCTGTACAAGTGGAAGACAAAGTGGTGAGGGTCCGAAATGTGAAGGTAGGTCCATTTTTGTTTAAATATTAGTTCATATGTAATATTTATGATTTATGGTGCCAGAAAGTACCTTTTTTTTTTTTTTTTTAATTGCACCAGAAATTGGCAGTTGTTGACATTGCTGTAAGAGTTCAAGAGGAGGCGGTGTCAGGTTTAGATGGCTACTTGCAGTATCTCAGCAACAGGATGTTTATAGTGAAAATTATTCTCTTCCTGCTGGATTACTCACTTGATTATGTATTCAGTGTATGAAAAGCATAAACATATTTGATTGCAGAAGCAACATGGTATTATCGCCTTCCTCTTTACACATGAAAACCCCAAAAACCTAAACAAGTAGCACACTTATCTTACACTTTCTAAAATCATTCCACACCTAATTCTTGACTGAGAGCTTCAAAACCTGATTGGTGGGTTGTTCTCTGCTTCTGGACCAAATAGTGTGGTGATGACTACAGGCACTACAGGCCAAAAATATAAAAAAAGATATATTAGTGCTGTCAATTGAAAAAAAAATTAACTAATTAATCACACATTTCTTCTGAAATTCCACCTAACGTTAAAGTTTAAAAAAAATACTTTTGTATTGCAATAATTTCACATTCAATCTTCAAAATAATGTAGAAACAACATAGAGAGAGTATATTTTTAATGTTTGTTTAATGGCATCTTTTTTATGACTGAAGGCGAGTATCACTGATACCAATATTACTGATGTCTCCAAGAAATTGTTCTTTTTTTCCTAATATTTAACCATTGAATATAGCCATTCAACATTACAGTATAATTGAGAGCTATCGATTTTAACATTTATTAGACTTTGAAAAATAACAACTTCTAATGTAAGTTAACTTAAAACAATCTTCACATAAACCCATTATAATAAATGTCATATTTACCTGTGCTCTTCTGCAAGTAGGAAATATACATAAATTGAATAAAGTTATCTAACACTAAATTAAATATAGATAAATCCTTAAAGTTACAAAAGTAATTGATTTTCCTTTTTTTCTTTTTTCTTTTGTTCTTTGATTAACAGACATCACCGCAGCCAGGTTAGGTTATTAGGCTGCTATTATTTTAAGAGCTGCCGCTGCTGAAGATGATGCAGATCTGACATGCACACTAGTAGTTTCATTTGCGCTTTTAATATGAAATGATACAGGCTACAGCGCGACACGGTTTTGTGCGTGCAATTGAAGAGCACGCACGCACTATAAGCACAGTTTAACAGCTGATAGGACAGGAAGATTAGTTTTACTGACATATGGCCTGACAACATCACATCTGACCACAGCAGAAGATTCTACTGAAGCTCCTCATCACCTGGCTATAACGTTTCTGCACTCGTTTAACTTGCACCTGTCGCTGAGGAGAAGTGGAGTGCACGTCTGAAAAGTCTCCTTTTTGATGTTGTCGTAAAGATGTTCTGCATCTAAATAAACGCAACTGTTGTCAAGAAAAAAGAGACGGAAGCAGCAGTTATGAGTGACAGTAAAGACTTTTACATTGTTACAAATAAAAATCTATTTCAAATGAATATATCTGAAATGGCTTTTAATGTAACTGTGTCTCAAATGTATAGACACATTCTTACTTCTGAAGCAGGAAATACTCCCTTGCATTCAGCACTTGATTAATGGATTAATGAAATGGGAGAAGCCACATCTGGTCACCTGCTGTGAGCATGAGAGCAAGATAAAGACTTACTTTACACCAGTTTTCAAGGGAAAAGATGGGCTGACATAAAGACAAGCGTGGAAGGCAGACATTAAAAACAGCTAGAAACACATTTTCACATTGTATTAATTGTTCATGTTGCACACATTAGAGGATAAGTGGTCTATGATCAGATCATTGTTCTTTTTGATACTAGTGTCCCGGGGCAGAGAGCAGTCACATTAACTGAGTGATGAATGTCATGAGCCCAGTGTGTCAGTCGACGGAATCTCATTTAGAGTGAAATGAGAATCCAGAGGTCCAAGGAAGTCTGAAAGATGCATTATTATGTCTTTGTTCATCTAAATGTTAGGCTCTGGATTTATATCACCATCTTGAAATAATCATAATGTTATCAAAGCCATGGCCTAGCTGTTAACACAGATGCTTTGACACATTGTCTAGTGTGAAAGTTAAGTACTAAAGTAGTGCATGTTTCCCAGATCAGATTGTTTGTTATAAAGTAAAAAATAATTTAATAGTTC